CAATATTGTTCCAGAAGAGATTAAATTAGAAGCCAGAACCCAGAATGAGGTAGTACACAGGAGGAATATGTGAGCAACTGAGGGGGCTAAGGCATTGCAGCAGCTTGACTGAAAAGTCCCACTTTTCAAAGAAGTGTTCATGCAAGAGATCCTTAGAATTCTAAAATGATAACAAATTAGGGTTGGAAGGGACCTCAGGAGTCCAGCCCCCAGCTCAAAGCAGGACCATCCCCAACTAGATCATTCCAGTTAGGGTTTTGTTGAGCTGGGCCTTAAAAACCTCCAAGGATGGAGATTCCACCACCTCTCTAAGTAACCCATTCCAGTACTTCACCACCCTCCTAATGAAAGAGTTTTTCCTAATATCCAAACAGAACTTCCCTTGCTGCAAATTGAGACCATTGCTCCTTGTTCTGTCATTTGCTGTCCAACTTGTCCACATCCTTTTTAGTGCAGGGTGCAAAACTGGACACAGTACTTGAGGTGTGGCCATAACAGTGCAGAATAGAGGGGAATAATTACTTCACTCAATCATCTGGCAACGATCCTGCTAATGTATGCTGTTAGCCTTCTTGGCAACAAGGGCACACTGTTGACTCATATCCATCTTACTGCCTGTTGTAACCCCCAGGTCCTTTTCTGCAGGGCTGCTGCTTAGCTAGCCAGTTGGTCCCAAGCCTGTAGTAGTGCATGGGATTCTTCCTTCCTAAGTGCAGGACTTTGCACTTGGCCTTGTTGAACCTAATGAGATTTCTTTTGGCCAAATCCTCCAATTTGTCTAGGTCACTCTAAATCCTACCCTCCCACCTATATAGTACTCCCCCCAACTTGGTGTCATCTGCAGGCTTGTTGACGGTGCACTCCATTCCATCTTCCAGATTGTTAATGGACATATTGAACACAACTGGCCCCAGGACCGACTCCTGGGGCATTCTTGATACTGGCTAGACATCAAGCCATTGATCACACCCCATTGAGACTGATGATCCAGCCAGCTTTCTGTCCACTTGACAGTCCATTCATCCAACCAATGTATACTTCCTTAACTTGCTTGCAAAAATGCTTTGGGAGACTCTATCAGAAGCCTTGTTAAAGTCAAGGTATATCATGTCCACTGGTTTCCCTGTGTCTGCAAAGCCAGGCATGATTTTCCCTTGGTGAATCCGTGCTGACTGTTCCTGGTCACTTTCAGCATGGATTCATCAAGTGCTTAGAAATGGATTCCCTGAGGATGTGCTCCATGATTATTCTGGGAACTGAGGTGAGGCTGACTGATCTTTGGTTCCCTGGATCCTCCTTCTTCCTTTTTTTAAAGATGGGCACTATATATGCCCTTTTCCAGTCGTCCGGGACCTCCCTTAATCACCATGAGTTTTCAGATAATGACCAGCAGCTTTGCAATCACATCAGCTAACACCCTCAGATGCATTGCATGTTGTCCCATGGACTTGTACACGCCCAGCTTTTCTAAATGGTCCCTAACCTGTTTTTTCACCGCTGAGGGCTGCTCACCTTCTCCCCAAACTGTGCTGCCAGGTGCAGTAGTCTGGGAGCTGACCTTGCCTGTGAAGACTGAGGTGGAAAAGGCATTAAATACTCCAGCCTTTTCCTCCTCATCTGTCATAGGTTGCCTCCCACATTCAGTCTTGTTATTCATAAATGTATTATTTTTAGTGATTATTTAAGCAGCTTTACCATGTGTTCAAATTTATTTTTAATGAGCTTTCCCCATGTTCTCTGCTGTTGTGGCTTAGGTACCAGTTATCTTAATCTAGTTTTCATTATAAGCCATTGTCAGATATGTGTCCATTCTCTCTTTTAGCACTTTTATTGCAGCTTAGGCACTGCTCCATTTATTGAAGTCATTCCAAATGATACTAAACCATTGTTTAATGCATCAGCAACTGATCAGGCTCAAAGCAAGTATCAACTAACAGAAGCTCTATGGTCCTCAGGAAATAGTTTGTGATGTAAAACACTCAAGATGTTATTCCTGCCTTTATAGTAAAGATAATGGTTTTCTTTTTCAGAGTTTTCTTACAGTCATTTTTGAGAGGAGACATTTTCCCTGTATGTTTGGTTGGTTTAATTACTCTCTTGAACTGCTCTTTGGGGAGCTGACCTGCTCAGGGATTGTCTCTTCCTGAGGGCAGTGATTCTCAACCAGGGTACAATGAGATCTTTTTAAGAATAGTGTGGGATGCCATGCAATATTTGCGCTGTTAGGCATGCAGATAGACCTACACACAGTTCATGAGATAAACCCAGACATTGCAAGTGGGAATCTATTGCGTCAAAAACATTCTGTTTGTGGTCTTTCTGAGTTCTGTGCAACAAAGGAATTGCTCCATTATTTTCTCATAGTCAAGGGATGAGTGAAAGCCAAGAGCTGGCCTTTTCCAAGGAGTGCCTTGCTTCCCAAAACACGGAGAACCACTCTACTTCGGCTTTAATCTTGGGTAGTTCCTTTAAATCGGGGATGTCAAACTTATTCAGTTCCAGGACTGGATTTGGACTGTGGAGCTCGGTGGGGATCAGACCAAATCTGGCAGTAGAAGGGCAAGTGATGTCAAGGAGGCATGGGAGTTAACAACAGCTGTCAGTCATTCCTCCCCTCTCCCCCCCCCAGTATGCATCCACAATGGGGTTCATACCATGGATTTCAACAGCAGGCTCCCAAGGAGCCCCATTGTCCAGATGGCACAGCTCCGTGGGCTGGGTGTTTGATACCCCTGTTCCAAGTGAATAAATGGGGAGTAATGTGATCCAGGTTATTTCATTTACTGCAGGGGCATAGCATGCACATAGGCAATAATATTGGAGTGGCTGACAGTGCTGTAGGACTTGTCTACATTACAGAGGTTTGCTGACAGTGCATTGTTAGCTAGTGGTGTGAAAAAATCACTACATCTATCCTCAGTATGTATTGTACTATTGCCACTTCTCCTGACTATCTCCGGTAGCCTCGTTTACAGAAAATTTCTTTTCAGAACTAAAAGCTATCCAACAACCTGCCTCTGCCTGGTGAACTTTACTCTCTCCAGTCCACTGTTGCCTTCAAATCACTAATTTGTCTAACCTTTTAGGAAATGACAGAAAATAAAACATTTACTTGTACTCTATAGACCTTTGTTGATGTTGTTTTTAGCATTCCTCCCTGACTATTGATTAACTATATTATAATAACTATGGATATGGACAGTGATATACAGTTTCTGTTCATGCATCATTAGATGCAACGTGAAGTTGCTGGTGCTTCTCTTCTGTCATCTTTTTATAGTTTTCTGCATCCTTCCCTGCTTTGTTACCTTTTCGTTTTTTATCCTCCCTTCAAGAAATCTGGTAGCGCTGAAATACTGAGATAGATGTAATTATAGAGTTTCCTGTTCTGCTAGTACAGTGGCATCCAAACTCCTGGCCCTGCCAAGTGGATGAGTGGTGTGGGATCAGTGCATGAGGTAAGTCTGTAGGTACGACCCTGTGTGTCAGCCTGATCCCCTTGTACCCGGATCTGGCTGTGCGTGGGGCTCCCCACAGTCTGCAAATCTGGCATCAGGGAAGTGGCAGTTAATGCTGCCACTTCTCCCCTGCCGCCAAATTTCTGGACTCAGAAGAGCCTCATGGACCTGCTCCCTCTGCAGGCTTGAGGTTGAGAATCTCTGTGCTAGTATATATTATTGCTTGGGATGTTTCTTGTTATAGTGAATAATTCCAGACTGTCTTGCATACTCTAATGTGACTTGGCAATAAATTAACTGGCTAGTCTATCATCGATTTAAGTAACTTCACGTATCTGGGCTGAACAGCTTACAGTTGCTTAAACATTATACAGTGAAATGATAATTAGGGAAATGTGTCATTTTTTTCCTGTTGTGGTGTGGGAAGCTTGTTGCAGTCTATTCTTGTTGCTTTTGGACTTTCTACCTCCTGAAATACTGCATTAGGTTTAAATTGGAACTGTGTGTGATTTGTTTGCTTGTTTACAAGCTGTAGAATCGCTCCATAAGTATTATGCAGCTACTTCTAAAAATTGTATAAGAACCAAATGTAAAGAGTCAGAAATGCGATGAATACTGAAATTAAATTATTAGGTACTAAATAAAATGCTAGTGGTGATGTCTAGGTTTGGAGGATTGGTTGAGTTAAAAAAAAAACTTAAAACTGGGACAAGTTAGGAAAGTAATCAAAGTACTGTTTTTCTTCTTGGCTTAATGAATTGTGGTTTCTTAAATAATAATTTACTTTGTTTCCCTTTTCAGGTTTTCTCAAATAATGATGAAGCCCTTATTAACAAAAAGTTACCCAAAGAACTTCTGTTAAGGTAAATCTAGATATTTTATGTTTAAGGAGTTATACATTTGAGCATCATATTCAGATCGTATTTTGATTTACAAAAATCATATTTTGATTTACAAAAATAGAAGTTACTCTTCATATTTTATTAAATCTATGGCTCAGAATAAATAGAATTTACCTGATTTTATTTAAGAATTCTTTAACTTCTAGTTCAACTTCTAGTTATAGTCTTAATGTAGTTTAATGTTTAGAAATGAGGGTATACTGCTAAATGCTAGCATTCACATTGGTGGTTTTCTCTGCTTATTATCAGGTAAAACAGCAAAAGAATGTCTGAAAGCTTTTTGATGTATAAGATATAAGATTCAATAAAACTCTCTTCCCTGTCCTGTTATCTTCATAATCTATATTAGAACACTATCCTTTAACGTAACTTCTGCAGTAGTGCTTTTTGTTACGAAAGCTTATCTGTTATCTTTTAATAAAAACTCAATAAAAACATCAAAGTTTTCAAAATTTTCTTTCATTGAGAGATACTATCTGTAACTATTTTGTCACTCTGCTCTGTAGGGTGCAAGCATACTGAGGACTAGAGAGAAAAAAACAGGTTTTGTTAACACGGTAAATTAGTTGGTTACAGATTTTACCTCCTTGCTGGAATGTTGCTAGATCATCTGTGTAGGAGTTAACTGTGATCATGTGGCTAAATAACTGATGGATGTCTCTCTTCTCTTCTCAGTGGCAATTTATTTCAGTCAAAATTTAAACAGTCCAGCATGACAGCTTCCAATCTTGAGATATTTCCATTGTTGTTTGAAACCAAAACTAGTCTAAAATTGAACCAGCTTATGAACTAGTCTATTATACTTGGTTTTAGTTTTTATTACAACACATTCCATGAACTAAAATGTCTGCATGTATTTTGGTGGAATTACTGTTCTTTGTATTGTGTCCCTAAAATTGAGTTTACAATTGTTCATACATTAAAGAGTTATGTGAATTAACTGCGGTTGTTACCTGGAACAATGTTTATGATGATTGTTTGCAATCTTGCATTGAAGCGAATTATCCAAAATATTATGCCCAGCTGCTTTCCAGGAGAAATCACAAGTGTACTCATATTCAGGCTTTTTCTCCAAGAGTAAAAATGGCTGTTCCAGGAGAAAGCATGGTGAAGACCTCGAAAAACAAATTCCTAACCACTTCATTTTGTATAGCTGCACTCAACACTACATATGGATTGCTTGATAAAATAGAAATGATTCTGTCCTCATTTTAGCAAATAGCTTACACCTGGCAATATTAAGTTATGAGTCATATGACTATTTCCCATTTCCTTCTTACTGTACTCCAGATGTGGTCTTTATTATGAAATGATACCTTCACTGTATCACGTATCTTTTTTAGTGCTTTTCCCACTCCTCAGAATTCCTACCTTACACCTCTCTTCCATGCAGCAATGGCTTTATTTTCAAATAGTCTATAGGCTAACAAACCCAAAAGTCAATCTATCACTCCCAGTTTGTATTCTGTGTGTTTCACAGTATTGAAATAGTGCTGTTATAGGAAATCAGCAATCCTTTCCAAAAATGATATAATGTTGGTGAAAGTATGAAATGCACATAGCAGATTCTATAATTGCAGAGTTTCAAAATGGGTTTAGGGTATTCAGTCTTCTGAATGGTGAGTGTTCTGAATGCTACATACGTCTCTGGTGTTAATTTTTGTATTGTCGTGAAGTATTACTAAACCACTAGAGACATCACGATGTACTGATCATAATTAATACCCTAATTATTTTTACACAGTTAAGTATAGTGTTCATCCTTTCATTAATAAGAGTAAGCCGGTCTTGGTGGAAATACTTTTCTTGCAGTAGCAAAACTAATTGTTAAGTAATGCTCAGAAGAGTCATCAAATGTAATCTTGGTAGTTTTCTGGAATTGCACGGTGGGATTTATATTCCTATTTACAGCAATTTGATGTTGACTACACTTTCTTTTTTCCCACGTGTGCAAGAAAAGCAGTTTCTAAAAATAACATATTTTACTATATTTATGTATTTGATGCTGTAAATGAGAAACAATCTATCATTTTCTTATTCACATTTAATATTTTTAATGTAATTGCACCAAACTGCTCCCTACCCCATTTAAGTTGACAATCCTCTTCTAATAAGATACCTAAGAACATTATGTACTATTTGATTTTATATATATA